GAGGCAATAACTATTATTATATAAATCCATATTTCAGTGAAATAATAATATAATATATTTCAATATACTAATCCTTAGATGCAATATTTTTCATCATAAAAAAAATGTACGAGCTTATGATAAAAAGATAAAAGGCACCGATTTTCATTTATGGCCATATACCTTTTACAGATTTAATAATATTTTCGAATTTTCTTCGAATATTTTATAGTAATTCATTGATTTGTCGACTTATTCTTTTTTTTTTTACTGATTTATCAATATTTGCAATAACAAAAGACGCAGATTTCAATATTGTGTATTGCATATTTTATATTTTCTTATCGATTATGATTTAATCAATTTTCTAGGTATTCCTTTAAATGATTTATGATATTTTTTCTATATATCAGATCTTTATATTAACTCACCAATATAAGATGCTCGATAAGGGGCATGAATAAAAGAAGAAATAGTTTTCTTAAATACAATTAAAATTGTTCTCTAAAATGAGATATATATGATATGCCACAACCAATACTATACCCCAGCATTACAGAATCTCAAAACTTTCTGAAAAAAATAAAAAGGTTAAATACGATAATTTTTAGGGTCGTTATTTTGATTAAAATTAAACAAGACTATTCTGGATATGTGTAGTAGTTTAATCCTCGAGTTTTGGGAATTATAACTTTGTTTTTTTCTTTTTTTTTAGCTCATAATTTTTAACCGTTCCATTGAATAATTAGTAATTGCAATTTCTAAAAGCTAAATAAAATTAAAACCTAAAATTATATTTTCTTTTTGCTTTTTGTTAATCATTTATCTTTCCAGTTTAATCTATTAAAAATTGTAAAGAAATATTAAAACCTCAGCTATCGTTCAATTCATTCGTTTCAATTTTTCAACATTTTAAAGCTACGCTCACCACATTTGAAGGAAAAATATCAATATTTGGTTTCCCTTTTAGGGATTCTCTTATTATCTTTGAAATATTATGGATGATTTATCGAACATATCAGTATCTAAATAAGTTTTCAAGCGTTTAGCAAATAATTGGAAACGTTATCTGCCCTATTTTATTTTTTTTCCTACGATCAACTTTCGCCTCTTATTGGTATATCTAATATTCGCTTTAAATATCTTGAAAGCGCTGTTCCAGCATTTGTTCGCCCTTTCAAAGTCATTTAAAGTTTCACAAGCTTTTCGACTTATCAGCCGAGCTGCCAACAGAAATTAGGATTTAGATTGATGACTTAGAGATAAGAAGGTTTCCTATTTCTGGTCCCGTACCCAATTTCTATCGAAATCTGTGTACATGTATCTTATATTGCATTTCTTGCAGTGCATCGAAACAGATACACAGATACAATTAAACACAAAACGCTTATCACTAAGCAATAATCAGAATTCCATTAGCTGTAGACGCGATATCGCACAAAAGCATCGCACACAGACACACATACCGCCTGCCTTTGTTCAAATGTATCTGTATCTGTAAGTGCAGAGCAGAGCAGAGCGCAGAAATTGTAGCTTGTGTGTGCGTTTGTGTGTGTGTGTGTGTGTGCTTGTATCCGTTGCTGCTGCTGGTTGGTTGCTTGGCTGGCTGGTTTGTTGGTTGGACGGTTAGTTGGTTGGCTGGTTGGTCGATGTTATCTAACTGTGCGCCGCGCTGCACGCTTATCAGTGCTTTATCAGTTTTTGTTTCGAATAATTTCGAACGGCGCTGGCGAGGCGGACGAGGCTGACGACGAGGGCAACACAGCACACAGCACACAGCTTTGTAGCTGTTTCTGTGAAGGAAGTCAGTCGCCCAGTTTGTAGATATCTTATTTCAGCTCAGCTCAGCTCGACTCGGCTCAGTTTGGTTCTTTAGCCGCTCAGAGCAGACGGTGCACATAGCCATGCGTCACTGTGCGAGTGCGAGCAACAAACTGACTGAGCAGCAACAGCACTAGGGAGTGTGTGTGTGTGTGTAGATACGAGTGTGCCAGCCGTAGATAGGCAGCAGATAGCTGGCAGACGTATAGACTGCGACTATAGCGGCGACTGGCAACTGAAAATGAAAGATAAACAACTTTGCCAGCAACAGCAACCATCAAACGACAAACAGCAACAAACATCAGCTGTGAGACGACGACGTCGTCGTCGTCGTCGTAGTCGTCGTCATTCGGCTGCCTCGTATCTTTGTATCTCACAGATACACAGACACACAAAATTTCATTACTCACCGCCTGCCTGCCTGCCTGCCTGCTTGCCTGTGCTGCCTGTACTGCCTGCCTGCCTGCCGCCTTGCCTGTATTTCAGTTTGTTGTAGAACGCGAAGCGAGCAGCAACAATAAAATTGCGTTGCCCGTCATCGTCATCGTCCGTGCGCTTTGTTGCTCGTCGTTTTTTGCCGCGTAAATTTCGTGTTTTGTTGTAAATAAGAATATCAAATTGAATGCGCAATCTTTTGCAATGACAAGTGTTTAATGGAGAAGTGTATTTGTTAATAATCTAGTTTCGAATAAATCGTATATAATGTTTACTAAATGCCACATCAGCTGTGTGGAAATGTGCAACAACACTTGTTAATTACTAAATTAAATTTACAAAATTTACAACCAATCAAGCTTAAGTCATGCTTAGCAATTCACGAGGTAATGAAGTTTCTGTTCAGTTAAAGCTCGATCTGTGTATGAGTGGGTGTCCATGTCCATATATACTTATGTAGTTGTGTGTGTGTGTGTGTGGGTGAACTTACCGGCAATTCCCCGAAGCTATATCATGCAAATTTTGTCTCTCTGTGTGTGTGTGTTTGTGTGTTTGTGCTGACCAAAGTGCAAAAACAAAAAAAAAAAAAAAAAAACAAAAAATAATGCTGTAAATACTGCACTAAGCTGAATTGAACAAAACTGTCGTGTGTATTGCGTGGGCAGCACTAGAAGTTCTCGAGATGGATATATCTTTGCAAACTACAAGCACTATTAACAGCAACTTGAAACCCATACAGCGATTGTTGAAGGGTCTCTTGATAAGGAAAAATATAAATAGTATAGTATACCAGAAATATTCAAATTGTAGATGAATTAAATAAACGATTGGGCAGCAACTTTTCAACAGCACTTTTGCGAAAGAGTCAAATTAAAGACATTTCTCATGTGATTAATGGATTAAAGCAAAATAAATGTTGTAATTTAAAGCCATTTTTAAAGCAACAACACTTGTAATTAATTTTGTATGAAATTGTATTCCAAAAAAAGCGTTTCTTTTCAATCCTTGAGGCTTAAATTGTCTTTTGTTCTTTGATGTTATGTTTTAGGAATCTACTTAAACTTTTCCACTGTACGTGTACTTCTATAATATACTTCCACAATAAACTTACTTCCGCAATATATTTCCACAATATACTTCCCCTTCCAATATGTTCAGTTTGTCCATAAGTTCAAAACTTGTTCATATCTAACATTTCAAAAATCGTACACATCTGTTTCCAATCTTTATAGAACGATTACTCTTTATGATTTCTTATGCAGTTCTCTTTTGATTATTATTGGTATTGAACAAGAGTTCTGTGCACACAGAAAGATTTAAAATCTGTTGATATTTTCTATCAACTGAGAAAACGACCAGTTTCATTATTTTTTATGCACTTCACATTTCATTACAATATTTATTGATAGAGTTATGTTGCACTTTGTAGTAACTGCATTTAACTCATTTGCTAGTCCTGTTAATTACAAGAAATTCATATCCTCATTGGGTTCCCGATTAGAATTGTATTAGTTCAATCAGACCATCGACGTTGCTATACAATCGATGAATAAGAATTAGGCATTTAGGTAGCAGATTTTTCATTAAACAATATCTGAAATGGTGTCACAATTTTTACTAGCCAGTAAATATTATTCAACATAAGCAGCTTAAATCAAAAATGTCTTCATCTAATACTGAAAAGAGCAAGCTACAAGTATTAATCATAACTAAGCAGTTAGATCATTTCAGCAATAAGAAAACTTAACTACCTCTAAGTTGGGGTCTTCACATAATCAATAATTGTTTGGCATTCCCTAACCCTTAGCTAGCAACGTAACTTACAATACTTGAAGATTCTTTAACTATTACAATTAAAGCTGAATAATTGTAATAGCAACCCACTTATGGCCAAAAGCTTGGCTCGTCAACAATACATGCCAAGACATATTCATACGAGTATGTATGAATGTATATATGTATGTATGTATGTATGTGTGTGTGTAGAAGGGCAACTGCACATCAAACTGTTGCTGTTGTTATTGCTGCTGCTGCTGCTGCCGCTGCTGCCGTTGACTAACTTGCCACAGTCGTCCGGCAGTCAGCTCAGGCAGCTCGCCAGCTTTTGGTTTTGCTTATCAGCCAACTATCTACGCTGTGTGGCTACACATTCATTTCTCACTCTATACTCATGTGTATATATATATATATATATATATATATGTGTGTGTGTATACGATATCTACAATCTGTAAATGCAAAGGAAAAATAAAAAGCGAGGAATTCTGCGGATTGTTGTTATTATTGTTATTATAATTCCTTGAAGTGAATATCAGCAAAATATAATCAACGAAAAACTGTGAGTAGAGAGACGAAGGCGGCAACAGCAACAAGCACTTGGACATGGCAAGCAAACTACTGGCGTTGAAACGGGCTTAGTGCGTACTTTTTTTTTTTTTTTGTATAAGATGCGATTGCGATATAAGCAGTAAGTGCAGAGCAGAATACGAACGAAAGAGAGTGAGCGAGGGAAGCCAAATGTAGAAACAAACATTGTTTCGGTTGAAACAATTATGATTATGCCAACTAAATAAAGGGCAGCGGCAATGCCTGAGGCAACAACAGCAACAACAATGGCACATGAATGCCAGTTGCATGTTATGAATAAAGAATAAAGAAGCGCGATCCGGCACATTGTTGATTTGTATCTCCTTTTGTGCATTGCTTATTCTTGTCTGCTGAACTTTCATTTAATTTTTGTATGTTTTCTTTGTTTTTTTTTGCAGGTGATTGTTCCGATACCACAGAAGAGATGACCGTTGACAGCAGAGGTAAGTGTTCCCAGAGACGCCCAAAAGTATACAGCAGAAATTTGGTCGGGGGATAGGAAAAGCCTGAAAGGCATACGATAACAAGGCAGAGCAAACAGCTAAAAATTTATCATCAGTCCGAGCTGCACACAATCCGCCACATAACCCGTTAATGCCAATAAATTTCAAACATTCCACATTTTTTTTTTTTGGTTGGCTAGTCGGTTGGTTGGTTGGCTTACTGCTACTGCCTTTTGCTGATATTTTGCCAATAAAAATTTAATCTGCTTTCATATCCCAGTGTCAAGCGAAATGGCCAAACCCTCGATGAACACTCCACCCACCACCACCACTTCAGAGCTCTAATTTAATACACAATTTTTTATCAGTGCGGTGCCAAGCGATGAGCGCTGAGCTCGGACCAGACATTGACACACCTCAGCACTTCCGTCTCAGCCCAAAAGCCATCGATTGTCCGCCCCTCCGCCTGTCAGGCGGCATCAAAAAGTGCTTAAACTATATGAGTGTGTGTGTGTCTGTATGTTTGCCAGTGGCTTCTGATTTTGTCATTCCTAACCCGCCCAACCCTGGCCAATCCCTCCACGTTGCTTAAATGAAAGACTCGACGTTCGATGTTGAGTTGACAACTTGCAACAACCCTTTTTGCTGCGGAAATGACAATGGCAACAGGCAACAAGCCAGCAATAACAACAACGACAGATACCACAAGAACCGCAGCAACAGCAAGAGCTGTAGCTTTAGCTTTAGCCGCCCACCACCCTCAATCCAGACCGCTTTTGTGTTAATGCTCCCCAACCCCGACCCCTTCGATGTCAAGTTGTGCGTGTTTTGACTTAAATGGCATCATTGGCATCAATTTCATATCACTTCATAAACATCAGCAGTGTCAACGCAGTCTCAACCATTCTCATTCTCATTGCCCTTACCCCTACCCGCACCTCCACCTCCACCCTAACGCTAACCCTGCCCCTGCCCCCGGCCCTTTTCCCCTGCAATCTTTCTACTAAGCTACTACTGACTGCTCGAAAGTAGATTGCTTATGAGCTATGCCTGTGTACATTAGTAGGGATAAGTTAAGTAACCCCTAACTACCCTGAGGTGCAAGAGTGGATGTGATTAATAGTTTTTCCCATTCTACTAATGAAGTACTTTCTGAAATAGCTAACCTTTAACCAACTTCTAATTGTATGCATCATCTCTCTCTACTTCAGATAAAAGTAGATTACGATTATACCCAACATATGGTCAAATATTTCTTTAAATATTTGTTTAGAATTACTTTTTAGAATTACTTCTATACCATAATACATTCTCTACATCAAAAAGAAAGCCTATGAATTTAACTCATAGCTAGGTCTATATAAGAAGAAGGTTATTGGGCGTTACTTGCTCCAAGGGGCACCTATTTGCTTGTTCAACATTCATTCTTTCAAATTATCCCAAATTAGCTGTAGTTTTCTTTTCTTCTATCTACCTTTCTGATTTTTCGCGTATGCATTTTCAAATAATTATTAAAATATTTCTACAATTAAAACCGTTAAAATGTTTACTAACCTATTTAGTATTTTTATTTGTTTTCAATATATACTTTATCGTTCAAATGTAAAGATGGTTTTAAATAATCGTTCCGTGTCACACTTTCTAAATGCTAAGGCAAGAGCTCATTAAAAATATTGTTGGAAACCGTGGGTTTACAAATTTGGCCTGGAGTTTATATTTTTCATTATTATTTTTTTAGTTATTGTAAAACACGGTTTCAGATCAATAATTTTTATACAAAATCTTGAATATATTATATCTTATAGGGTTTTTTTTTTAAGTTTTTTTTATGGCCAGAAATTTGATTAAAGAATTTTAAATGCGTTAAGATCTTAATATCACTGTAATATCTACAATATATTTGAATGTAATTAATCATATATCAAGTGTAATATATAATTGTCCTCCGAAATACTTTCGTAGCAAGATAATCATAATTAGAAGTTATATCATAGAGCAGAGTACTTTTCATTTGTTCTTGGTCATGTTGCTTGTGTTCTTTATTCGTAGAACTTCTTTCCAAACTGAAAGTGCCATTCAGTTGTTGGTAGTGATGAACACCTTTCTCCCTATTGATACTCATAATTCCCAGCATTCCGACCAACCGATTTATTCGGTCATTCGTAAAACTACCAATTCAATTAATCAAACATTAATACTATATTTGTTATAATTCTGGTTTAATTAAATGCTGTCTGATTTATCAGCCAGTTATCATAAATATAGATTTGAAATTGTTATTGTTTTTTTTTTTATTACTTAGCTATTTAAAAATGAAACTATTTCTAGTTTCAATGCAACTTTAAAATGAATTGAGATTTCATTTTTTGTATTTCCTAGGCATTTCCTTTTTAATAATTAAGGTAAAAGACTGTCTTTATTTAACTTGCCATCCACAACATTTTGCGACACATTGTCGTTAATCATAAATCGCTGACAATTGCTGGCCACTTCAGTTTCTCCATAGACTTACGCAGTCTAGTGTAAAAATGTCAACTCTCTTGATGGTGGTGGTGCCCTTTTGGTCAACATAACGCGCCATTTCGTTGCCCTCTCAAGCATTCATCATTAATAATCCGATGGCCAGGCAATAATTCGCTTGCATCAGGTCCTGTCTCAGCCTGCTGCCACTCTTCTGCCTCTCTTCTGCCACAGTCCCTGCCATTGCCTTTGCCATTATTATCAAGCTTCATTCGACATCCAGCCACGTGGCTTGATATTTTTTGTGCCATGTGCTTTATGCTGCGTCAGTGAAAGATTTTTGGTGTGCAGCTCTAAGCCGGACGAGGCGCACTTGCTGTACACCAAAGTGGGCGTAACAGCGTGCGCCAAAAGTGGGCGTTTGTCTGTGCTAATCTTTATCTAGCTGTTGACACTCCATGGCGGCTAAGACCGACCAACGAGCCATCCAGCCACCAGGCAAGCAAAACAAAAAGTGTCGCAAAAAGCCAAGTCACATTCTTTTGCCTTTAAAAGCGCCTCGGCACGCCCCCTCTCTCCAGCGCCCACTGTGCTTTATATTGCTGTGAGTGTATAAGTGTGCGTATGTGTGTATCTGTGTGTGTGTGTGTGTGTGTGTGGTTTCATTTTTGCAGTCAGCAATTGCTTGTTGCTGTTGTTGTTGCTTTTGTTGTGGTAGCCTCTGTCGCTGCTGCTGCTGCTGCTGATGATGATGATGATGCTGATGATGCTCACTTTTGGCGCTTCTCTTCATTTGCGGCTGCTGTGCTGTGCAATGTACTGTAAGCGCATCTGTGCTTGTCTCCATGTGTATGTGAGTGTGTGTGTGCGCGCGCTTTTTATCTATGAAATTCATGAATGCTTCGGCTTATCTTGCAGAATTGCATACTTGCAGTTCCCAGTGTGTGTGTGTGTGTGTGTGTGCCCGACTGCCTCACAGCGCTGAGTGATCCTGTGACTTGCATGTCACAAAGAAAGCTAGGGCCAGTGATTATGACAGCAATTATTAATAAATAAAAAATAAATAAATAAAAAAAATAAATAAAAAATAAATAACAAAAAAATAATAAATAAAAATAAATAAATAAAAAATAAATAAGTACAAAATAAATAAATAAAAAATAAATAAATAAAAATACATAAATAAATAATAAAATAAAATTAAAAAAATATAGAAAAAAAATAAATAAAAAATAAATAAATAAATAAAAATTAATAAATAAAGAATAAATGAAATCCTTCAATTTAATTCCACTTAGAATTTAAATGGAACTAATTACCAATCAATTAGCTGCGATACAAATTAAGCTAAATATTAAACGATCTGCAAAATAAGGGACTATACTTATATTAGCTGCGATAAAAATTAAGCTGAACATAAGTCGATCTGGAAAATAAGAGACTATACTTATATACAAATGCCGATCCAATCTGTTAAAAGCCGCAATTGGTGAACCATAATTTAATTCATTGAGCACAATAATTTAAATAATTTATTGAATAATATTCACATTTATCAAAGAATTCTGCATCTTTCAAGACTGATAATAAAGCTAATATTTAATTCATTAATTTGTTTTTTAATAAATGAAAGTTTTCATTGATAAGTTATAATATAAACACCGATAGAAATAAGCTGAATATTACACGATCTGCAAAATAAGAGACTATATTGGATAGTTGAATAATATTCATATTTATCAAATAATTCTGCATCGTTTAACACTGAACAAAGATTATTAATATTAATTAATCAATTTTTCTTTGAATGCAATAATGAAAATCTCTGGTTTGAGTTTTGGCTTTTAATACTTTTTGAAATCGTCTCTATTATGTGCTCCTTTATTAAATCTAGTAACTTGTCTGAACTTTAATAAACGCTTATAGGAACATGTGTGTTAATGGAAAAATAACCGCTTTAGTATGAAATAAAATAAAATCCTAAGCGTCAAATCCCTTCTTTATTTGGTTTCAATCCCAATTTCATTTGTTTTGCTAACTCAAATGGTTTTACGACGAACATTAAACGTAGAATATCTGTATGTATTACCAAGAGTAATGACCCTTATCTTAGTTTTCTGAAAATGTCATTTAATATTTCGCGTCTTTTGATGGATTTTAAAAATGAAGTCGTAACTATTTCGCTATATACTTATAAGAAAAAGGTCATTCGACTTTTACTTGCTTTATGGGAACTCCTCCTTAGAACCACAGCTATTTAGTTGCCTTGGATAATTTTTCTATTGTTTTAAATTTGTTTCAAATTGCAATATCTTTTCAAAATCCCTTCTCAACTAAAATCTCGGCCCTCGCTAAATGCTGTTAAAATCGTTGACAACATACTTTCAAGTTATTTTAATGTTAATTAAATTATAATCAATTAGCACAAAGTTTTCACTTTCTATAACAATTTCATTAGTTTATTGTTATTCCCAAGATATGTTGGATATATTGGTAATTTTCGTTTGTTTATTTATTTATTATCACATTTGGCTCTAAAT